TTGTGTCGACAAAGCAATTGAGACCCCACCAGCAAATAGCTCGTCCAGTGTTACCAGCTCTGAGACAGGATTCAAAGGGAGGTCCCCGAGCTTGTACGGAGCGGGAGAGGCTGGCACAGGCTTCGGGCTGCCGGATTCAGATCTTGGCCCTGTTGCTCACTGCTGTGTGATCGTGAGACAAATGAGCATTTCTGCGGTTTCTTAGTCACGTGTACTTGGGGTTAACAGTGGCTCCTATCTCAAAGGATGTGCTCAGAGTCATGAACTGTTGGGCACTGGGCACAGTGCTGGGCACATCTCGCCATTCTGCAGTTGCTGTTAGACTTTACTATTATGTATGGCCATCAGTTACTTGTACAAGTTGTGCATTTTTAGCCATCATCATTTCTTAGCCTAGAAAAGGAGACTCTTATCCTAGAATAATTAAGACCATGTGAATTTTTTGAATGTGATGATACTGTTGACTGAAACTTGACTCTTGACTGTAACTTTTGAAATTTTTGATGTTAAATATTACAGCAATTCTACCCCAATCCTATTTCCTTCCCTTCTATATCTAATGCAATTTTCGAAGAAAATAAGTAGACTCGGGATGGAGTTCATATTTCATTTTCCATTGTATTAAACTGAAAATCCTAATTCAGCCAGAAAGAGATAAAAAATAAGATCATATACTGTATGATGTGTAGAATTTGCAGTGTTGATACTTTGTGCCTAGAATCAGCAACCTATTGCCAAAATTTGAAAAAGGTGAGCTGCTTCAAGCCCCACTCTGGCGCCCTCAGTCCTGATTTGCAAGAGAGGTTACAGCAGGAATGGGCCCTGTAGAGAGAGAACCAAATCTCCTTCTGTGCCGTGAGTGAGGGTTAGCATTGCATTTCTGCCTCCTTACACAGATAGACACACATGCAAAAACACATACAAGCACACACACACATACACAAACACAAATACATACATGTACAAACACACACAACATACCATACATACACATTTATGTGTGTGTGCGCGCACACACACACAGTCTAGAATAGTTGCTTCTAAAAATGCAGAATTTTCTATAGATCCCAAGCTAACCCACTGACAATTAGTTTCCTCTGCGGTTCTATGTAGGATGGATGTGCTGGCCAGGGGGACGAAGCCGACCTCCGGCTTCAGAATCAATCTGCTCTTCTCACATGATCCAACTTGTGTTTTTCAGCTTCCTTATTTGATAAGTAAGAGCCATTAACCTCACAAAGTATTGCTATTTGTGGTGTATTTATAGAATAATTTGTTAGGATTATTTGCATCTGCACCGAAATTGGTTTTGAGCTCTTTCCAACTGGACAGATCCATCCCCGGCTCTGAAAATGAGTGCAAATGACAGGAGTGTGTTCCAAACGCGACAGAAAAACGCTCTCCCACCAATTGTACTTTTGGCTGAATTCCCTCCTCATACGGCCAAGATAACTCTGTCCAAGGAACGAGGATAAGTTTGAGACTGGGTGGCAGCAGTATGGATGACCAACACTATTGTGCATATCTGAGAAGAATTTGAATGACTATGAAACCGATACGGGAGGATGGGCTCTCTGCCTTTCAAAGCACTTTTCCAGAAACTTCTGTGTTCGTTCTGAGTCTCCTCTGGACGGCTAATGGGTCTGATATTTCCTTCCTTCTGTACCATTTTAATACAGTCTCTTCCCTATATCCATCCACATATGTGCTTCTCTTATGAGGAAGAATGATCCTCTGGGGGCAAGCTCCACTTCTCTTCCATCTTCCCACCCTTTAAAGCACTCAGTGGAGGTCTTTATAGTCAGACTTTGGCTTAAGCACACGGATTGAACGCACCGGTAGGGGATAACTCAGCTGGAACTCTCTAGGCGCTCAGTGTCTGTGAAGTGGATGAGTGGATGGGACAGCAAGAGGGTGGAGGGGTGAGCCTTTAAGGGGCTGTCCACAGCTCTCTCCTTGTAGAAATCAGCAAGTGGCTAAGGGCTGGGTGGCCTCTAAACACCACCTGCACTGGAATTCTTGCAGTGAGGCCCTGGTCCCCAGGGGAAATCAAAACAAATGACTTGACATTTGATGAAGGACTCTGTCCAAGGAATACTTACTCCCTCCCCTCCGGGAGTCACAGGCCACTTTGAGAACTTGCACCAACCCTAAGAACAAGAACTTAAGCCCATATGCAGCTTGCCCATAGTGTGTTCACTTGACTTGGGAAAGCAGACAAGGGGAGCTTTGACAATGAAAGCCTGGAAGTTCAGGTTCAAGCCATGAGATCAATGATCAGGTACAAAGTATCGATTTCTCCCTCCGCAGTTCTCTCATTTAGAGAAGGAAGACATCAAAGGTGCCCTTGGCCTCCCAGGGCTGTTTCTGAGCTTAGACAATCAGCTCCCATGCCGTATGGTTGTGCATTGCCATGTTTGTAAAGGTGGTCTAGGGGCTCTGCTTCCTCGCCTGATGACAGAGGGATAGAGGAGCCTCCAGCCAGATCCGCCAATCCAGACTTGATTTCACAGACACCCGTGTAGTCTTTGCTCGGGTGTGAGCCGGTCCCATGATCTGTGTGATCCATCCATGTGCCCGTGTTCATTTATTGTTCTCCATACACGTTAGCGCTTTGCATATAATTGGCGATTTAGCAGCAGGAAGAGATACATTGGTGCAGTCGTTAAGCCGTCCACATCTTTTTCAATGAGCAACGGGATGAACGGCAGTGAAGTCCACACGTGCAAGAGGGTTGGTGAGCTGGACTCAACAATAGCACTGTGCAGAACACTGCCTTTATCCATCCCAATGCAAACACAAGCCAGAGAATTTGATTTATTAAGTAGTGTAGACACTCTCATGGCTGTGGGAGAGCCTTTCGGGCTTCACCTCCATTTGTGAGGAGCTAAGAAAAAAAAAATCAAAGAACTAATAAAATCCAACCACCCAGAACTCCTTCCTGTAGACAGGCTGAATTATAACTTTTTAATTTCGGCAGGTAAAGAATTATTGCCGCCGTCCTCTAGGGCAGGAACGTGTTAATAAAATCGTCTCCTCTGCCTTTTCATTTAAAATAATCCCCTGAGCTGATTAAATGAAATATCACTTGTTTAATAACTGACAGGACATTGTTTTTAAGCACACATGTTTTGCCTATCTCCACTTCCCGCTCCGAGTCCCGGCACAGGAGGGCGGCGGCGCTGACATCACGGAGGAGCGGCTCTCTACATGCGCCTGCGGTTTGCCCTGTCACAGTGCCATCCATAATTTAGTGCGGAGCAGCGAGGTAGACAGAGCATTCCCATCAGAAACCGTTCTGAGCAGGGGTATAAAACATGGTCACAATAACACTTGTCAGAGAGGTGACTCCAGTCAGAACTCATATCCACGACTTTCAAGATAAATGCTGACATGGCAGCCATCCGACAAAGACTATTATTGCTTTAAAAAAACATACACACACAAGGCAACCCCCCAGCAAAGCCAAGCCATGAACCTTCCCCAGAGTGAGCAAGTTAGTGTGAAGTTTGCATCTGGGGTGGCATAAACTTTGGCTGATATATAGCAGGCACATTTCTTTCCTCCATTTGGAGAAGGTGTTTTATGATGCCGCCGAGGAAGGATCCAGTAGCATTTTGGGTTTAATGATGTTAAGCTATTTGGAATTCTTTCCCCCCTGTTATTTGGAATATATGAGCTGTGCCTCTAAACCAGGTCATTAGCTGGGCCGTGGACGGGTTCATCGCCTCACCCACAGGACTACTCGGCTGGTGCTCACATTTCCCTTGCCTTCTACATTTGGAAAAACCTCTTCGACTTGGTGGTAGGCTATGATTTAATAACCCCGTTCTGCTGACTTCATAAGCTGTAGAACCTTGGAGGAAAAAAAAATCCCAGATCCGAATTATAGTTCTAATTACTCTGGCCGAGGTGAAGCATTTCAGCATGGAATGTTCTAGGCATGCCCACATCGCAGGAAGCACTGGTTGTTGCTGGAGGTCCTGGGATGTTTGTTCACTCCTCTTCCACGAAGGCAGCTGCATTCCTGGTGCCAGCCTGCCTGCAAGGCTGGGGGAGCTAACTGCTTGGTGATCCTGTGGAATTCATTTATTCTCCAAGCTCTTCTTGTTCTTCGGTTAGGGAAACTCAGATGTATTATAAACATGAATTTTGAATTCAGCAGGGATGTTTCCATCACAGAAGGATGTGGGGAAAATGAAGGAATAATTTTAGAATGATTTCTTTTTTTTTTTTAATGTGTGCTTGATTTTAATTGATGGTATTTATCTTAAATATATATTACTGGCTTTTAAATGTTCGCATTTTCTAACAATTAAAATGTTCATGAAAGTTAATATACATTATGCGGCTTTAAAGAAATTTCAAATAGCACCAAGGATATTAAGCGAAAACAAATCTCCCTCTCCATTCTAACTCCGAATCTCTCCCAGAGGGAAATTCTGCCCCAGTATCTCAGGATGTCTGCAGAAGGACACACCCTGCATATGCCTGTTAGATGCTTTCTCTGTGTGCACAAGTGATGGCAATGTGATGCCCTTAGTACAAGGGACAGCAGTGTATATACAAGGATGCCCTTTGCACAAGTGGCAGTGGTGTATATACACTGTGATGCCCTTTGTCTTTCTTCTGCCAACAGCTTGGGAAATGTTCCATATTTGAACATACACATTTCCACTGTTCTCTAACGGCGGCGGCGTGTTTTAGGTTGATGACACAATTGACTTATTTAGAAACTCTTCACTGTTGATTGATTACAGATCAATTCTATCCATTTTTAGAACAGCAACAAGTCACAATAGTTTTAGAAACCTTGAAGTTTGGAATATATGAGCTGTGCCTCTAAACCAGGTCATTAGCTAGGCGGTGGACGGGTTCATCGCCTCACCCACGGGACCACTCAGCTGGTGCTCACATTTTCCTCGCCTTCTACATTTAGGAAAAGCTCTTGGACTGAGTAGTAGGCTATGATTTAATAACCCCATTCTGTTGATGTTTCTTTGGGAAACCTGCCTGAGGAAGAGAAGTCACATAGAAGAATTTAAGGCTAGGACCCAGAGGAAGGGGTTGCCAGCTCAGAATGACCTGACAAGGAAAGGCGGACAAGGACACTTCGCATGGAAAAGAGTTGAAGTTCTAAACATGTGCTTCTGGGTGCATTATTCTACAACGTAAGTCCCCTGTACTACCCACTGACCAGCAGTTCAAAAGTGATGGCTCTATTGAAGGGAGGCACATCTTCGTAAATGAGGTAACCAAGACTTTACCTTTCCCTTCAGAGGAACACACACACATCTCCCAGTCAGTGGCCAAAAGTCACAGACTTCTTAGTCACATGATTTCAAAGAGGCTTTTATATTCTAGTTTCTGCATCAACGTGGGGATGAAAAACATTGAATTATTTACCTCTATTTTGGAAAGTTTGGAGTCATCTTACCTTGTCTCTTGGCACCTTCTGGTTGTCTTTTCTAGCCTGGTATTATAAATCGAGGGATGGCATTCACTATCAGAGCCCCATTAGAGTCCCAGCTCGTTAAGGGCAGGGTCTGTGGCCATCCATCACCTGGAGCTTGCCTCCAAGGGGGGCTTCATAAATGGTGAGACACTCGGATCTCAGTCACTGCTCACAGAAGCAGGCATTTTTCTTAAACAGAAAGCATGGAGAGCTCTCCCAGGGCAGGAGGGTTTTTAATCATGGGTCATAAACTAACAAACTGATACATGGAAGAAATAAGAACAAGAGTGCTCAATCACCCTACATTTAGATCATACAAGTCTTTAATAGATTACTTAGTGTGTTTAACCATTCCTCATTGGCTTGCTCTTAGCCAAAAGTCTGAGAAGCAATAGGATGTCTCAGTCAAGGCTTATGTGCGACCATCAACACAGCCATATATTAAAATCTGCGTCTTACTGGGATGGGGAAGGAACTTATATGCATACGATATACTTTGGTCATGTCCACTCCTACCCTCGTGCCCCCAACTCTTCTCCTGGGCTCCTCCAAAGACTCCTCCCCCTACCTTCATGCCCTTTTAAATTTAAAATAACCCACTTAGTCTCATTGGTGCTTCCTGTCTGTTCCCGGGTATAGGATTCCACTGGCACATAGGCAACCCACCATTGGCCATACCCCCGAGAAAAAAACAAAACTGAGGGTTTTTTTCTACCTTTCCCCCATCAGCCACCAACTGCCAATAGCTCTTCAGCCGAGGGTGGGGCTTTGTGAGCCTCTCTCTCATCCCTGCTCGGACTATTGATCTTGTGAATTCGTCATGTTAAAACCCTGTTTCTGAGGTACAAGGATGGAACCATGAGCTTTAATACGTTACTAGCAGTAAATTGTGATTTAAAAGCAGACTTTCCCACAGTTGTTTTGCCTCTTAGTTTCTTTTCCCACCACCATGGGACAAGACTCAGGGAAGAATCTGATTCTTACTTAATCAGCATAGTACAAAGATTGAAATTTGACTTCAGTTGGTGCCATAATCATATTGTCTCCTCTTCCCCCCCCCTTATAATTAATGTATATGCCAAAAAATGAAGGCATGCTGTTCCGAGCTGGAGAATGAGCGTTTCATCTTCCATGCCCATCACCCTGATCAAGGACAAAGCTCAACCACCTCCCCACGTTACCCTCTAGTTTTCGGGCTATAAGGTCCCAAGCTCCCCAAGGACAAATTTCACTTAGAATTCAAGTAGAATTGCTGGAAGTCAGACAGGGGACTCAGGTTTAGTTAGATGATATAGAAATCTCAGAAAACCTTCAGCAGTGTCTCTAGGTCTATGGATGCTCAGGGGATGGCCATAAGAATTTTACTCGGGTAAGTCTCCTGCATTGTTAACTCAGAGGACTTTGGACCCTACCAGGCAAGTAGGTGATTTCAGCAACTTGAAATGAAAGAAAGGCACAGCGTGCTAAAGCCCAGGAAAGACCCACCTGTGACTGTATCATTAAAAAAGAAACATGGCTGTAAGCGTATATACAGGCAGAGAAAATAGCTCCTGGGAGAGAAGCCTGGTACTTGAAGTTGATTTGGGTAACTCGGAAGTAAGTAATGCTCTTGTAGCATATGTTCAGGGGATTTGAGATGCAGGGGTAACCCTTGAGCTTCTCTCCCCTGAACAAATCACCACGGAGTCATATACATTATATATGAAACAAAAGCAATAAACAAAGCAGACTGAATTTTCTTGCTGGCAACCAGGAGTTTGGGTTTAGAGCAAATGCACTTTCCTTCCCTGGCAGCAAACTAAATTATCTACAGATTAAGTTAGGTGGGGGAGTGGATTTCATCAGAACTGTGTCGGATAATCTAACTTGGATCCCGAAGTCGACAGCCGCTGCTATGGACATGTTATTGGAATGTACAAATACAAGCGGCCACTGCTCACCTACTAGAGTCTAGAAATCGCAAGATAACCCACAAAGACTGGTGCTATATTATTTATGCATTTCATTTTAGCCTTTTAAGCTGTTTAAAGGGAATACTTTTTTTTATAAAGCACTTTCATGTTTATTATTATTATTTTGATGGCTCCAGCAACCTGTGAGTAAATACTGGTTACGTTTTGTGGATGGGGAAGGGGATGAAAGGTTTTGAATACATGCTTAAGGCAAACCACACCACCCAGGAGAGACTGAACCAGGAGCTGAGTGTGATGGGAGCCTTAGCCTCCCCATCTAGTGTTCTTCATATGATACACAGCTGGCTTTGTCGAGGTGTTTCACTTAGCAAAAAGGAAGCATTGTAGAAGTACTGAAAAATTAGCCAAGGGTCCACTTGTCAGGACACAGCTGAAGCCCTGGGAGGAGTTATGAGAAGAGAGCTCTCATTGGAGGGGGACGAAGAATCATCTCTGCTTTTTGCAAGCAGTCATGACATGGCTGTAAAAGGCATTAAAACTGTGGTCAGGGTAGAGGGTTCACATTTTCCACATGAGAAGAAAAGAATGCAAGACTATTTTCTGGGGGGAGAACATGGGTGATTTCTCAACAATAATATGATGGCTGCCACTTTAACAAGACCAGCCTGCATTAAACGCCACTTGACTTGCACAGGAAAATCCTGGCCAACAGTGTGTGGTCTGAGGGCTGGAGGTAATGACCAGCTTGTGTTTGAGGTCATTTGGAAATTATAAGAAGGGATTGTTGTGGCAATCAATTCTTTTTATTTGCTCTTTCTTTTGTCTCTGTCACTTATGTAGAAATAGAAAACAAATTCCAGCTACCCTATAGCTCTCAAGTCAGACTAATTTAGTTTCAATAGACTTGGTGATACTGTTTAAACTTTGAAAGTTAATAAACATGGATTTGTAGAATTAAAAATATTGAACTATTGGAGTGCTACCAACTCACAAAATTAAAGTTTTATAACCCAAAGTCGAAGACTGTATTCCACAGTTTAAATATTTCATATCTGACATTTTCCAACTCGACAATGTGAAGTCTGATTTTTGATTTTTCAATCTAATATGAGTTTTGGAGTTTAATTCAAAATCATGAGGAAACCCTTCCTGAGACCACTCTCTCTCTCTCTGCGGTTCCCTTCATAAGAGGCACTATATTTTATTTCACTTTAGGAAACAAACCTTCCTACCTAGTCATAATTTAGATACATTAGGGACTCAACTGTGAGCTTGTATTACTGCAGGTGAACAACTTCAAAAATGGAGTCTCTAATGCATTTAGTTTGTGATAATATTTACATATAAGTTATATTAAAAGCAAATGTTTTTAAAAGCAATGTATTGTGAACAACTCCAGAAGTTCCTGGAGGCAGCCACTGCCTGCAGAGATGGAGCTGGGTGGCCGTAAGACGAGATGTCAACGTAGGATGCCTTGCTACCCAAATTCAAAAGCGGCCAACATTCTCCTTTAAAGGAAAATTTCTTTTGGAATCTATCAATGGCATAATGTACACTCCAAAGAGGCTTTGGGCAGAAACAGGCGCAGAGAAAGACATGGTCTGGAAGGGCCACTGCAGCTGACACGGAAAGGCAGGGAACCGCTGAAGGGACTTTTCACCTAAGTGTCTGGCTGTCCGAGAGCGCCTGATGGAGGTGTGTGTTTGGGTTGTCTTGGAGCTGGATAAATCGATGCAGCTCAAGGCTCAAGCTGGGCATGTGGACAGAAACAGAGCCCCATGGAAACACAGCGGTGCCATTCTGTGCCGGCTTTAGACCTGTCCAGGAAATTCAAACGTTTTTAGCTTCATAGCAGGAAAGGCGGGTTCACGCCTTGGGTTACTGGGAGGAAAGGAGGTTATTCCGTATCCCTGTCAATGGCACAGACTCTCACTTTTTGCCCAGAGTTTAAATATGACGTCTTCTTTTTGCTAAATTCAAGTCCCCTCCCCGCCAAGTTCCTTCCACCCAATTGAAAGCTTTGGGGGCTTTGGGGGTGCAGTTTAATTAAGATGGACACAACCCTAACTCCCAGCCAGCAAGGATCTCTTTGGATCCCTTTTGTTGTCAAGTATACTTTCTGGGTAGATGGAAGGACTAGCCCATATCATTTCTTAGATAATGTTTTAATATCCTGCACTGAATAAAACTTTTTTTAATCAAGTTGCAGTGGTAGCACGGAGCGCCACCAGGGGCGAGGGGGCTGCAGATGGCGGAATGTTCAAGCTTGACTGACCCATTTCATCAGCACTGTCAGGGCCTTGCACTGATACATGTTGACAACATTTAATCTTAAAAAATTGAAAGAAATGAATTAATATGCAAATTTCATCAGCTTTGTAATAAAAATGTCCTTGAAAAAAAACAGTGAACATGACCCCCGAGGAATTGTGTGAATTATCCCAGCTCAATTCTTTAAGTTAGTCGGAGGTACGCTGGTCCGTGAGGAAATCAGTGCAGATTTGACTTGGAAATAATTATGATGAAGAAGAAAACACAAGCAGGTTGAATGAACGTAACAACTTGGGAAAAAGTCTTAGTACTATTTGTTATTCACTTTGAATTAACAGGATTAGGTCTGGTTTCTGAAAATAAAGGAACACCACCGTGTAATTTTAACACCTAAGTAATGTGAAAACAATATTTTTAACTATCAATTTTAGTGCACATTAAAAAAATCACATCTGATGAAAGCAGGTTTTTTTTTATATCTATCACAGAATACAGCCTTTTTTGGCACGAGAAATGATTATAAAAATTAATT